CCAGCTGGAATTGAACCGTCGACCTTGTCTGTGGAGGGAGGGGCGCCTAGACCACTAGGCTACGGGACCCCATCCCAACAGGAGTTTTTCTTTGAGAACCTATTCTATTCTTTTTATCCCGTGTATAAAACAATTTTGAATTTGGACCAGGCAACTTAGATCTAAACGTGTAATTTCTAAAATAATCAGGGTAGGTCATTTCTTGAAAACAGGCAAGATCAGGGTGGTCAAAGTACTTGTTGATAGCATCATCCCAATAAGGAGTTTTACTATTATTATCAACATCATTGTCATTGTCATTTATATTATGTAAGTGGTAAATTGGTTTGATAGATCTTAAGCGTAATTCAGAGGGGGCAGAAGGAAGGTAATATACAGAAATAGAACATCTTGTTAAGGGGTATTGTAGTAGAAGTATCATTAACTCCATTATACCTAATCATCTTGTTATAATATGTTTTCTATAATCGTTAGCTTCATCGATATCAAATAATTCAGAGGGCTCTGCTTTAGTAATATATTTAGTAATATATTTAGCAAATCTAGTAGAGGTAACATATTGAAAATTAATGTGACCACGCTATACTAATAAGGTTTCAGAATGATAAGGAACTACCATCCTGTCTTCATCTTTAATACGGCAATAAATATAATGTAAAGAATTTTGTGAATAGTAAGTTCTATTAGACAAAGGTTGGGGGAAACCTTTAGAACATGGAATTCTACTAGAAATTTGATCGCCACATCTATAGTCACAATGATGTATTTGGAATTGTGATACTAAAGCATATAACTCAGGCTCAGAGACTGGATCAGGAAGGTCAGCGCGAATTGTGTTCAAGGAGATTAATTCTGGAATTTTTTTTCAGTATATGCAAATCTGTGAGTATGTATAGATCCACGGTTTTGAAATTCATCACATTCAAAAAAATGTTCCTATTTATCCCATCTCAAAAGGGATGGATTTTTCCAAAGTTTGTTATGAATATTAGTCAGATAGTTATGGTAGAATAGGTAAGTATGCAGAGGACGATTTGTGGGTAGAGTGTCTCCATTGTCAGTTTGATGCAGTATCTCGTTTAAGTGAGGCTATTTATCCTCAGCCATAGTCATTGTATAAAATATTTAAAGAAGACTATAAGAATTTAACATAGTATTAACTTGATACTGTTTTTGTTGAAAAAAAGGAGCGGCAGTATGAAAATTTGAAGAGATAGTGGTAGTTTTAGTTTTATCAACGATATTATGTGTACTATAAGAGCTTATAGTGATCAAATCAGCTCTTGTTGGGTAATTCTCACGATTAACTTTTTTAGTTGATAGTATGTAGTGATGGTTTTGAAAATTTCTTTTTTTTTCTAAGGTTAGGTATGACCAATGAGGCCAATACCAATAGAGGCGAAAGCGAGGATCAGGACAGAGCAAACATAGTTTTATATATTTCCTATAACTATCGACTAAAGGTGAAAAATTTAGAAGTAGTTTTATGTTTTCATAATGACCTTGACTATTAGGAAATAGGTCAGAAAACATTAATGTTTCTAGATTAGAATCATCAAATGAGAGAGATTTATTGGTGCTAACTATTAAGCCAGCTATTAGGCAACTGTAATGTGCATCTTCATTGTGAATTTCTTGGGGGAAAGAATTTTTTGGAATAACCAAATCAGAAAGGCATGGTAAGTTATCAGGGAGATTATTACAGTAGATATTGGTTGATTGATTAGCACTTTGAAATGATTGGCAGACTAATGGTAGAGGAAGAAGAACAGGTATTGTTGGAGAAGAGTTGTTGATGGATATGCTTGATGCATATTTATGAATAAGAGGATTGGTAAGTTTGAGCCAGTTTGATACAGGAATTAAAGAGTTATGAAACCAATTTGGAGGTTCGTTAACATTTAAGTAATAGCCAATTAATCCAAAATACAACTGGAGAGTTCAATAATTATAAGATAAATTGATATTTCCTTGAAGATGACGGTAATTCGTGTAGCAATTTGTACTAGCAGAGCGGCCTAATGAGCATTGTATAAAAACAGGTGAAAGGAATTTTCTATGCATCATAGGAATGTCATGTATCTGAGAAGGAATCTGAGGTAATATTGAAGAATATCGACGCATCTTTTCATTCTTACACCCATTGCAGATAGCTACTTGCCTAATATTTCTACTATTTGTTCAGGTATGAACAAGAATGGAAAAAACTTGAGGCATAATGTATGAAGTATTTTCTTCATAAGATACCCATTGCATAGAAGAGTTAAGCATAAGAATAGAACAATGAGCACAGGGAATACAGGGATGATCAGATAAAATTTTGGTGTCAAATTGAAGTATAAGATGATGAAGAGCAGAGGTCAAATGACAATAAGAAAGATTAATAGTTTCATTTAATAGGATGAAAGAATCAGGCACATTAGAAACGGATAGTGCATTTGACAAATTTTGATTTATTTCGTTTCTAAAAGTATATGGTTCAAAAATAATATTAACAGGAGACTCAATAGGATTTTTGTTAGATTGTTGTGACACTTCAGCAAAAGAGGAAAGGTGGAAGGTTTGAATATTGTAATTTGACATTTTTTTTAATCACAAAGGATAAAAAGGTAAAACTTAAGCAACAACGGAGGAAGATCAGGGATTTAAATAAGAAATTCTACTATGCAGGTAATGTAGTATTTAATGAGAGTTCATATAAATGGTTATTTAACATTAGGTTTTGTAAGCATCAACTAATAGATCAAGTTAAATGATCATGATAAAATATTGATGATGCATATATTTATTTTATTATAATTGAAATAAAAAGATATATATTGGTGATAATGTAGAGGTATTTATTAACAGATAAATATGAAAAATTTTTTTGTAATAGGATATAAGTATGGTTAGAATTAGAAATTTAACAGTAGATTTAAAAGCAATTTATCGATAACATGTAGTATAGTATAGTATAACGCGGATATGAGGAAGTTTGTAAGTAATATGATAATGGTAAGGTAATTGTTATGTAGAATAGTACTTATTCAAATACTTTATTAAGAACTTAAAAGAAAAAAGTAGCATAGTATATTACTGTCATTATCGAGTATGATACGTGTATATGAAAGAATACGTAAGTGATATATTATAATATATTTTTTTTTATATGGATTTTAATTTCTGGAGATATACATAAGATTACCTAATGCTCATGAATGTTATTATAAAAATTTTGTTCTTTAAAATGATTTATACGGTCTTGAATTAGTATTCATGAGCATCGCGAATTAAAGCGGATTCTAACGTAGCATATAATTTACCATTGCGATATTAAGTAGATATTTCATATACATACACTCTACAAGCGTATTTACATACACTTTCGCTACAACGATAAGAGCACATAATTTGATCTGTCTAAAGTAATTATTTTATATTAACTGTTAATTATTCTCTATAATAAATATCATTATACAGTAGAAAATGATTCAATATAAAAACATATAAGAAAAGGAGTTTATTTTGCTCAACAAATTAAAGGGCATATAATCTAGATATGACTATATTCATAATTTATCAATATAAAATTTATTTTTAAAAAATTAATATAATGTAAAAGGAAAAAGTAGTATTAAAAAAATAGTAGAGCAGTAAAGTTAAAAGGTAAGATAACAAATACAATTATCAGGTGGTATTTGTTAAAGAAAACAAAAAGGATAATGCAAAAAAAAAAAAAAAAAGTATTAAGTGCTTATTTTTTTGCAGTGCGAGCACGTTTACCTTTAGTATCAGGTTTTGTATTCTATTGAACATGAGAAGGCTTAATAGAATCATTATCACTTATAAAGGTATCATCTTCATCTTCAACATGAGTCACACGAGAAGGAATACTTTGATTTGTATTCTGAGATGAAGATTCACAATTGGCAGTTGACGAGGAGGGTTCCACGTAGGTTGTTCTAGCGGAAGGAGTCCTTTTTTGGATTTGTAAAATAAGGTCAGCAAAATTAAAAGATGTGGTTTTATCATTTGAATGTTTATTATCCAACAGGTTACGTGGATTAATTCTAGTTTTTTTTGTAGGAGTTGGGATGTCAGCGTAGCATACTTTTCTTCAATACTGTCAAGATGTATATCAAGTTCAACTTCTGAAGTTACTCTTGTATTACTTGTAGTACTTGAAGGCTAGAAATCACTAGAAACATATGTCCATTTAATATCAGAAGCAAGAATATGGAGAAGTTTTTTTAATCCAATTTTCAAATGCCCTATGACAGACATGACTGTCTTTTTCAAATTATTTTTCATAGCATTATATCAGTTGTTTTCATTTGTATACGATATAATAACTTTTGACTTAATATTTTTATTATTAGTGACTCCGTTATATAACCGTCTCGCCATTACAAAACTTTCTTGTCCACCTTGATTATCAGGAATATATGAATTAGGTACCATGGTAGCAGTATAAATTAACAAAGGAGATGAACTTGAAAGATCTTCAGAAGTAAGAACATAATCGCCTTCAGAAGAAGAAATTAGAACCGTTTAAACCAAAGTAATCTGAGGAAAAGTAATATAACATGGTATATAATGAATAGGTTTTGAAGATAGGTTGGTCATGCATAAAAATGTCATAGTTTTGTGATAATAGGTACTTTTGATGCAACAATTCAAATGCGTAATTTGAATTACCTAGACTGTATAAGTTATTGATTACAAGACCACGATATTTTTCATGACATGACTAAGCTACTTGGTGTATGAAGTTAATATATTAACAATAATGATTATATACATATTCTAGGTTTTCATAAACATAATAGCCGACCATTAATATAATTGAATTTTTTTCAAAAGGGATGATTAAAGATTCAGAATTAGGCATAAACCCTTTAAAGGTAATTTCTCTGAATTTGTCAGTGGTATGGTTAACTCGGTACAAGGTGGTTCTGAAAATGTATCTGTCATTTCTGGTAATATTTTTAGCAAAACAGAATGCTATAAATAAGGATGACATTTTACAAATTAAGTAAATAGTCGAAGGTAAGCAATTATAAGTAAGGAATATGGTATATAGCAAACTTTAAAATAAAGCAATAATGAAAATAGATCTGATTATATGCCTTTTACAAGATCTCTTTATATAGAAAAGAGGATGAGATGAAATTAAGTGGGAATTCATCCAAGAAATTTAAGATAAGCGATTATCTAAATTATAGGTTGATACTAAAAGCAGAAATACAAGATTTTGGCAGTATCTAAAACAGCATCAATGATATTACGACAAAGTCATAATTAAATTTGAGCGAAATTGGTATTCTATAGATCTACAAACGTGATTATCATGATATCGCTAGTGCTATTTTAGATACCAAAAATCTAACAGCTCTGATTATGTGATAAGAAAGTGTATTATTTCGATATTTAATCACGCAACAACAATAATTCTATTATTTAAGTGCATCAGATAAAGATTAGTGAACTTTAGATTATCGATAAGATAAATGTATAAGTGAAAAGTAAAAATCGAATTCAATTTTGTAATTAAAATATAAAAACATAAATCTGATCACTTATAGCATCTGGTTATTCATCATGTACTATATAAAACAAAAATATCCATATTATTTTATTTTACGTTCATTAAAAATCTAATTTAATGTAATTAAACTAGAAATAAATATTTTGTCATGTTAATATTTATATTGTTAAACGTTAAGGAGATCATTCAATAAATAAGTAAATTCAAAAAACACAGACACACTCTTTCCGCTAATCACTGTGACTAAAATTGGAGCTAAGGAAAAAATCAAAAATTAGACACAATCGCACTAAGACAACAACAGAAGTAGTCTTAAGGAAAAAGATCAAGCAAGAAAAATTAATGATAGTTACTTGAAAGAGTCTGGCTCTTTGCAAGCAGTAGCTGTCACTACACAAAGATTTTGAACTTTCAGAAAAAAAATTTTTTTTTATTTTTTTGGAAAATTGCTATCCATTCTGTACTGCAGATCACTAAACAACAAACAAATGCGTTCGGAAATAAACAAAAAAGTAAACAAATAAACAAATAACCAAAATAGAATAAGCAAAACAAAATAACAAACAATTGATTAAACAGCAAACAACAAACAAACAAACATGTATTATGTTAGGTTTTACAGAGTACAAAAATTTTTTCAATAAATCAGATAAGGAAAAAACAGAACTATGTAAAGAACAGAATAAGAATATT